GTGAAAAATGTTCAACAAATAAAAAAAACACCAATAGATTTTGATTTTCATGTAGAGAGAAAGGATTACTTTTCTTTTTTTATAAGTCCAATCACTATACTTAGTCCTGCAGATAATATTTATATAATCATGATATAATAAATACAATTTCTATTAGGTTAATTTTTCTGGAAGTAACCTACTGAGAAAACACAGAAGATTTAACTATAGCTGCAAAAGAATATAAATGTTATAAACTTGACCAAGTAAAAATAACAGTTTCACTAATATATCCTGGAAGACAGAGAAGAGAAGCAAAAGAAAGTATACCAAATTCCTATCTCTTATTGGTATTTTAATAGGAGGAGTAAACAGTCAGAGAGTCAACAACTATTTACAATGATGAATCAGGAAAAAGATATTTTAACACAGTACTTTAAATTACAATGAAATCTACTGGAAAAAAAACTAATAAGCTGTAAAAGTGGTTTACTTCAGGGAGTAGGAAAGAGAATGGTGGGTAAGGCAGAAAGAAACTTTTACCTTTTGTTTAAGACACTTTTGTTTAAATATTATGTTTTGCCATCAGTAGATTTTACTTTACATTATTTCAAAATGGCACAGCATGGGGGAGGGAGACAGAGGAAAACAAATTAAAATAAAAGATAAGGAGCGCAGGCAGTATGCGAATAGCATACTGTCAATAACTCGGCCCATAAAGACAGAGCAACAAGGACTCCAGATCTACCCATGGGTCTAGGTAGCTGGCATGGTGACCCAGCCGAAACACTCACTGCTCCGAACACAATCCCAGGCAGAGTTCCTAGGTTCCCCTTGCCTGAACCTAGACAAAGACAGAGCATGACGTCTTGCTAGAAGGGAATCAAGGGCAATAGGGGACGCACAGTCCCTAGTATTGCTGTATTTGTACCAAAAAGCCTGGTTCATTATTCTAGGATTTAAAGAAGTTCTACAACCTACAATTTTTATTCCACTACCAAGTTCATATTCTGAGGGGGAAAAAAGGGTATTTTGAAGATTATGAGAAATTAAATACATGTGTCTATGCTAAAGTATAGTACTCGAGAAAGATATTCTAGTTCTGGTGGTATACAAACTTTTGAGTGCATAATCCAGAATGCTCTCAGATTCCCTCAAGTAGTTTCTTTCAAATGAAATAAACAATAAAGCAGTTTTGACTTTTAAAAATAACTTTTCTTGAAACTAATTTAGATAAATTTCAAGTGAAAAATAAATTAAATGCTTCATTCGCAGACATACTTTAACATAAACATACTGATTCCTATTCCCAGTAAATCCCAAATATATGATTCTGTCGATCAACTCAAGAAACGTCAAATAATGTAAAAATGTTCCCTGTCAGTTATAAAAGTGACAAAACTGGTATACTATCTTTTATTAAAGATGTTGAAACACATCATATCTCAAGGAAAATACAAGGTACTGAAGGGGTACAAGTTTTCTTTCAGTTTTCAATCAACTGTGTACATTGTATTACTTGGTACTTTATGTATTAAGCTACACAGTCATATAACCTGAGACAGACAATACAGTCAAGGGTTCTTTATGCAGAAGCAAATATATGAATTCTGTTTTTCCTGCTTTCAGAATCTTAAGAGTCAGCCCTCAGTTGCCCCATGTAATCTACTCCTAAGACCACAGGGTCTCTCCCATCTGCCAAAACCCTTTTTTCCAACAGAAGAGCAATGTGACTAGCAAAGAAAAGAGAAACATACACTCTACCTAGGAAAAATTAAAAAGTGGACAAGCAGGTACGTTGTGCATATGAACTTGCCTAAAGTATATTAAAAAAAAAAAAATTACACCAGAACCCAGAAATGCTTTGCATCACGGGTTGTTCTCTTAAGGACATTTCTAAAACGAATATACTTCATGATTCTCTAGCCATCAAGAGAAATGAAAATAAATTTAAATGTTAAAGAAAATGAGAGTATAAACAGTTGGAAATTAGTTACTATTCCTCGGATTACCAGAGTGTCAAATGATTTTTCACTCTGATTCACTCAGGTCCAAGCAAAGATTAAATCTTGCCTTTGGTTAAATTCCACAGCTCCAGGTCAATGAAATGAATTTTTAAAGTGTTGATGAATCATGTCTGAGCAGTCCCAACCAGAGAGCTCAAGAACAGGTACAGTACTGTATTTAGAAGACCAGAGGAAAAAGAGCAAAAGAAAGGAAAATAAATGCACAAAATAAAAGAGGTACATCCAATTAATAAAGACACAAAAGGAAGAGAGAATAAAATTCCTTTCGTTTTTGTGGACTCAACCTGACCTACACGTCAACTAACTCTATCACCATAGCTCATATCCCATTATCTACAGGAAGTGAGCAAATTTCTCATGCTCTCCCAAGTAGGAACAGAAATGTAAGACAAGAAAAAATGAGACTGGGTTAAGCAGGATGAATGGGGGCTAGCAGAGCAAACAGTGCTGGTGTGTGAGGAAGAATCCCGGTAGAAGGCCTGGCACCGCCACCAAACAATTCCAACTAATAGCAAAGCTCTCTGAGCCACGCCGACATTGTAACTACATCACCAAGTTAAAAACACAACTCTAACAGAGGTCCTGCAAAGCCTAAGGTGAAATTAATTCCTTGGGACATTTTAGTATATTTGTGCATGTATTTTTACCTATTTTCAAAGAATAAGACAAACTTTTCTTATTACTACATGTACAATTCACATGTGTAAACACAGCATGCCTCTTATATAATGTACTCCCTAAAATAAAGCAATTATTACTTTAAGTTACCATTATTGATCTTTTCAATTTCAATCTTTTCACCAGGTCGGATAACTGTAGTCACAGCTCCTCCACATATCACTATATACCTTAATGAGAAAGTACTCAGAAGTCACTTCACGCTAACTTTTAAAAAACCCAAATAAAAATTTCCTTAAAAAACATTTTGTATAGTTAACTCTCATCAAGTAGATAATTACTTTAGCACAGCCAAAATTTTTAATTATTGAGGAAAAACAAAGTGCCAACACATGTCACCCTCTACCTCAATTTCCTGCCATCAAATTTCCACACCCATTCTTTCCTATTATAATAGAAGGTGACCTTTTCAAAGTCACCTCTACTATAATCCCTACAAAGCCTTAGCATAATATTATGTCCTCTATTTTATTTTCAACCTCTCACTTTCCAGTAGATTTTCAAATATGCAAATTTCCCCCTCAATTCCACATCTCCCCTCTTCATAAAATTTTCTCATCCTATACTTATACTTCAGGCAAATCTATCCCAACAAAGTCAGCTATGATTTCTTTGGATAGATATTTTCAGTCCTCATTTTGCTTGCTATCTCTGCAACAAAGACTTCATCATAATACCCATAATCTCCTGTCTACAACCCTCATACCTTGTCTTAGCTAACTCCTATGCCCCTCCTTCAAGTCCTCCTTAGTCTTGACCCCGAAGGAGTTAGATCCCAGTGCTTCCTCTGTATGCTCAACACCCATCTCCCTAAGACCCCATCCCACCATCCCACTATGCCTTCTTCAATCCAAGCCCTTATTGATAGATTACCTAGGTAATCTAGAAAACCAGGGATTATAATGATTACATTATGTATAGTTCAACACCATTCAGCCAATTCTAAAGCAAAGCACCTGGCATATAATAAACACTCAGTAATGTATAACTGCCTGAATTATGTTCACCCAATCATATATAAGCTGTTCTCACTGTAACTCATTTATCACCACAAAATAAACTAAATGCGTGCTGTCTCTTCAGGACCCAGAAGGCCCTTGTTAGAAATTTTCAAATACATTCAACATATTAGAGCTAATTCTCTATTTACTCAATTTAAACAAATCTAAATAACATAATCAAGTCTTTAATAGTGACAGTTAATCAGTGTCAAAATGGATAAAAACAAAACATCACTGGAACTACCCAACTATGCATTTCCTAATCAAATAAAAAGTGTGTTGATTCAGTATGCACAATCCTAAAGAAAAAAATACCATAAATATTAAATAGCATCTCTAGTGGGAAAATAGCTAGCTCTTATCCTACAACCTGCAGAGACCCATGATGTGGGAGTATATTAAAAGAAAAAAATTTAATTAAATCTGTACTAATGTTTTGGTCTTCCCTAATCCTTTTATTTTTAGGTACGAACAATCAACATCTACAACATGGGTGCATCGTGCTCACTAACTGCCAGAATTTCCATACAGGAGAGACTGAGGGGTTATGTTCTAGGATAGGTATGAATTTAATTTGAAGCTGGGTTTGCTTGGCAAACACACGATTTTACTTAGATTGTATGTTTACTTGAGATGGTTTTAGAGGAATGATGGAAATTACACCTGGGGATTGAGCCTCCCCAAGGGACTGCCACCAGTAATGCAAAACCTTCATTTTAAGCAGACCAAAAACCCATTAATAAAGTAGAACTAATAGCAAAGGCTGCAATGGCCATTTTTACACTGTACATTTTAAAAATAACTAAATAAAAGATGTAACACATCAAATACATAATCACTTAAATATGACAAAGATGATTATGACATAAAATTAAATCACACTTAAATTTTCCAAAATAATTCTTATCAAGATGAGCCAAACATTTGAACTGTCTGGATGTGAAAAACAAACTGCAGTAATACTCTCAATATTTATAAGCTGGGCAAAGTTAAGGAGGAAAAATTCCCAAGAGATGCAAGAGAAATGTAAACAGATAAATTTATTCTTCTCTACTACTCTATAAATTGGAAAGAATATGAAAAAAAAAGTTTCAATGAGGTAAAAAGAAGGAGTAGGATTAAAAATATCTGATCTTTCACACCTTATGAATTATTATTTATAATTTCATTGTACTGCCCATTTATGAACAAGAATGCTAAACTAGAACATAACACTTAATATTAATTTTCAATGTTCGTTAACATTGTGTGTTACACAGCTCATATGTTAAAAACTGACAACAGAGTCAGCTTTAAAATTTTAATATTACCTTACCTTATGCAACTGTAATGTTTAAAAGTGCTGGCGGCTTTCTGACATTCCAGGCACAACTGAATAGCTCCTGGATAGTCTTCCTCCTTAAGATAACAACAACAGAAGTCATTAAACAGGAAACATTTTTCCTAAAGTCCCTGAAAAAAATAAATCTCCACTCATACTCCATCCAAAAGTTACAGAACCAGAAAATTTTAAGTCCTCTTAAGTCAGGATTAGAATACCAATGATAAATAAATAATATAAAGAGACGACTAGCTCCAAGCCTAAAATGTATGCATAGAAAAAATATTCTCTTCCCTCATATACATAGTAACAGCTCTCTAAGACCATGACATGTGGATAAAGCCTACACAAAATAATAAGCTGCTTCATAGGGAAAGTGTTCTTTAACTGTTAATATATCTTCTTTCAGTAATGTTTATATAAAATGTTCCAAACCAGTATGAATTCCACTTGTAATCAACACTCAAGAGTTTTACCACCAAGAAATCAATAAATATTTTAAAACAAATAAAGTTGTTAGAAAGTGAAATATTCGGTCTACGGCCATACCATCCTGAATGTGCCCGATCTCAACTGATCTTGGAAGCTAAGCAGGGTCAGGCCTGGTTAGTACTTGGATGGGAGAAAGTGAAATATTCATTAATAACCTTGGAATGTTTTTATCAACTAAAGAGTAATTTAATGCCAAATGAAATTTTCATATGCATTTCTCAAATCTAAGTTTAGAAGTAACACGGTGATTACTGAAAACCATAAAAAAGTTTTCCTATGTTCATCTCTATAATTGGACAAATGTACTTCAAACCAGTGGGGATGCTGAGATGATGACAAAGTACCTACCTGAAGGACCTCAAGTATTATGGGAAACACACAAATTACCTTATGCTTTATAAAACAAGTACATAGAGAATGCTAAGAAAGCATCAAAGAGAAAACAGATGGCTCACTCAGGAAACCAATTACTATGAGATACCAAACATAACTCAAATATGACATATTCCTTAAATCATTCCTATATGCTTGATACAAAAGATAATTTTACTGCTATTTGGGTGCAAATGCAATCAATATACTGAAGTTAACAATCCCACATTGCTACAAAGTAAACATTTCCCCAAATAAATTTTTCTAAGTGAAATATGTCAATAGAAAAATGCTCTAGAGCAAGTACATTTACATGTCTAAAAATGTTCTTTATACCATGTAGCAATTTGAAAGAAATGCACATCTGAATGTTTTCCACTATAATTTTTCTATTTAATAGTATCAGGATCACCAAATTTCCAAACTTTGTTTACTTACCTCCAGCATTTCACTTAAGCGCACATCTGTTCTTTGCTGGAAAAAAAAAAAAAACACACACACACACAAAAGTCAAAGGTAAATCTGTTTCAACCATAAAATTAAGTTTTAATTTTTAAATAGTAACCTGTATATACCAATGTTTTTATAGTTCTCAGAGATTTCAGAAGTCCAATCAGCAACTGACGTTTCCTTTGATTTGCAAGAAGGCCTAAACTAGCTTGAGTAAAACCTTCCTTGGCAATATTCAAGTGTCTACAAAAAAGAAGAATAAATACTTAAATTTTTCTATTATAATAAGAACACTATTCACACAGAACAATTAGGCAACTGACAAGGTGATATCCTCAATTACTCTTAAAATCAGGGATTGTGACTACTATTTGACAAATGTATTCAACGGCTCAATCTCAACCAGCATTACTCAAAGCATGGTGGGTGGACTGGTGCCAATCCTCAAACTGTTACTGATCCGTCACAAGAAAAGTACAGAAATGGAGAATAAGTATTAAAAAACTACTTAGAGCAAAAACTGATATAATAATTTTAAGTTTGATGAATCAATAAAAAAACTGAGACAACATTCTCTATGTCCTAGGTTATTTTCTTAGCATTTTGTTTTTAGTGCATTTTACAAAAATAGTAAAAAAAAATGGAAATTAAAAAAGAAAAAAAGTCTGATCCTTATAGTTTGAGAAGCATTAATCCAAACAATATAAAAACAGCAGTATGTTAAGGCCATAATGAGATTTATAGATATTTCATTTCACACATACTTTCTTAGTGCAGCTTTTAGATCATAATATATATTCAGTTAATGAACAGTATTCTAGAAACCATAGTCATAATAAAAACTCAATTATCAATGACAATTTCACAATTTTTCTTGAAATGTTTTCCAGCTTAAAAAACAAAATATTCATCAAATGCAATACCTCCTCCCATTTGTGCAGATAACAGCAGCTAACTGAAGACCCGTCTGTAATGAGGTAACTCTTTCAAGTTCCTATGGAAAAATTAGGTATAGGTTATTGTGGAGGCATTTTATTTTTCTTTATTATTCATACGATACTCTAACAAAAACTTTAGTAGGCTTCAAAGAAAAGCCTGCTTAGAAAACAAAGTAGCAACAAAGATAGCTAAAATTGAAAACTGTTGGTGTATCTTTCACAAAATAATTTAAAATGACTACTTTCAAATGATTTTCACAATGACATATGATAAAATATTTAGTCAGTATTGCTCATAAGGAAAACTAGATCCAACCTGTTTTAGACAGGCATAAACAAATACTAATAATACATCCATTGAAATGTTTCTACCCAACAGAACTTCAGAAGATAATCAAGGATATGACAAGTATGATTTCTGTTTCCTAAGATGCTTTGACAACAGATGTCTTCATCTGAACACTGGTAGGTATTTCAATGGATTTTGGAGTCTCTGATTTTCTGATTCAAAGACAGATTCAGTTATAAGATTCCAATTTTATTATCTTTTAAAGACAGATTGTTACACTGCTATTGAGCAGTCATTATTAATGATCGACATGTTACAAAGTACACAGAAGGAATTTTCACTGGGCCTTCTAAAGTTTGGAAGAACCAAAGAGATTACTTTAAAATCAATTATAAAAAGTCACTTCTTCAGTTTGGTAAATTCCCCCAAATGAGAGAGAAAAACATACATATATAGCCCCCCCCACACACACCCCAAATAGAGTCAATATGTTGCTACAGAACTACAGACAAGAGAATAAATCATTTCAACACTTTCAAGTGTAAGTCACTTAGGCATTTTTAAAATTTTACTATTAAAAATAACAAATATCATCCTACCTTTACATAAGCAGGCTGTTTTTCAAGGATTAAATCTGCTACTTTTTTAGAGACCTATAAAAACATGCAATCAAACAAAGGAAGTAAAAGAAAAAGCCACATACTTCCCGTTCCATTTTACATTTTAAATTTTTGTAAGAATATTCCATAGGTCTTCCCAATAACTTCTACAGCAGATATTGGCATGCTCTGGGCTATGAAATTAGTAAAAGGGATATAACAGAGAGCATAATACTTGGTCCTTAATAGAATCTCAATAAATGGTCATTATGACTGTTAATAATATGAGAATCATCTGATTTATTAACATGCACAAAGGTGTAAGATCTTTAAGGGCTTAAGATTTGCTTTTAAAAGACGAACTCGTAAGACAAACAATCAGTTGAATTTATGGACACAGTGTCTGGGAAACAGAGAACATCCTGTACCCTTTAGATACTTTGGACCACCTAAAAAGACAAACAGTAATTTGGTCCTCTACTTCTGAAAACTTGAAAACGTGTTTTTGGGGGGATTTTTTTTGGAATGCTATGAACATACCTAAGGTTTCCTTGGTCAAGTCCGTGAAAAATGTTAGTGTATGTAAGAATTATAATGATTTTGAATATGAGGCTCTTATTTCAGTTTCAGGGGCACCTGCTAGACTACACTACAGGTACTATGGAGCATGGCACATCCAAAGCATTTAGTGAATTTTTGCTCAAAAAACTCAATTAGTTGAGTTTCCCTTCCCCTTCCCCAAGCAACTGAGAACAAAGAATTACACATACATTCAACTATTGCATTAACCCTTCTATATTTTCTTAACTGCTTTGAATTTGTTTAGATATGAATTTATATAGATGTATAGACAGAAACTGGCCTAATTTTATCAAACTGGGGTTTTTTTTTAATAGTTTAAAATAGACAGTATAGTTGTTAGCCTGCACTGTGTCAGGCAGTGTACTAAGTGCTTTCCCTACATTATCTCAATCAGTACTCATAACAATCTATTAAAATGGGTTCCTCATTTTCCAGATGAATAATCTTAAATATCATAGTAACTGACCCACAGCCCCCACAGCAAGGCCAGGATTCAAGCCCAGGTGTACCAAATTCTAAAGGTCACTGTGCTATCTGGCCCCTATAATGGGGCCTCATTCCCTAAAGAATACTATCAGATCAAGTACAGAGACAGATGTGCACATATTTAAACATGCTGAAACCAACAGAAGGCAAAAGATGCCACCATCCACTGGAATCCAGTTCTCTAAAAGCACTTTTACCACACAACCCTCTATTGGTCAAGTCCCTTCCCAACACCACTGCTGCTACCCCCAGGGAGATCCCAGCACCCACTGAGACCTCTGAGTGTAGTACAAAAGAAGGAGAAGTATATCTTCCTTTATTTGTCAAATGTATTATTAAAAAAATAAATAAATAAAAATAAAATAAAATAATTATCAAGATCCCGTACTAACATTATTTAATCTACAGTATAGTCTAAGTTCTATTAAAGGAGCTCAGCCTTCCTCAGCAAGGAAAATCACAGAATCACAGAATTTTACAGCATCCAAGAAAATGCAGGCCTAACCCGTCACTTCACAGATTGAGCAAGGCTAAGTGACTTGCCCAATGCCAGACAATTAATCAGTGACTACAACTGTAACATTCTGAATCTTAGCTCTCTTTTCTCTTTGGGCCTATTTCAACTACAAGTGGGGGCCTTTATTCTGAGATAAGAAACTATAGTAGGGAAGTCATGCATGCATGACAAGGAGCCTAAAGGTACTTAGCAATCCAAAAAGAAAAGATTCAAAAATCTTTGATCACATTCAGGATTCCAGAGAAAAAAACCTCTCAGTTCTAGAAGGAAATCTATATCAAGGTAATGGGAGGGAAACTGAATAGGCATTAAATTTTTAAATAAATGTATCATTGAGTCTGAGTCATGTTAAATAATATTTGTTTAACATGTTAAGTTAAACCATAAAATCTGCAAATATTACACCCCCCTGCTGTTTCATTTAGTTATGTCAGAAAGAAAGGTGTTTTTTACTTACTGCAGCTTGCTGTTGTTTCAATTTGTCTCTGTACTCCTCTAATTCTTGCAAATTGAGAACAGGAGGGAGTTTCTAAAAAATACCCATAAATGAAGAATAAAAAATAGTTTAATTTGGTTTCATTTACCTGCATACTTCTGACTTACAAACTATCATCTGTGCATGTAAAACAGTGCCTCATCCCATTCCCACCCACTCCTCTTGGCCTCCCCACTTTCCCCACTAGACTTCAGACACGAAAGCTTCCACATGTTTGTTGCCCAACCCTCTCACATGCCATCCCTCACCCAGCCCTATAGGACAGAAGAAAGTCCCACATCCTAACCTTACCCTCTATCAGCCATAGGTATATCCCTACTTGTCTACAACAGAACTCAAAACATTTCCCCTCTGAAATATTAGGAATAGTAACTAAGCACTATACTGTGATAGTGACAGTTGCTGGAGTACATTCTAGATTCCACATCAGCTTTCAAAAGACAGGATGGGAAACTAACAAAAATGCATACTGCTGTGTATACTGGAAACTCCAAGTTTCAGTCAATGGACTGATGAAATTTCAGAACGACTGGGGGCTGATGGTGTATATAGTGCATATAAAGTATGTATGCATACTGTATTTGGTTTCATCTAAAACCAGATTTTACTATTCTTTTTTGAATTTTCTATAAATTTAAAATGCCAACATTATAAACATCATGGCATAGAGGTCTTTATCATGGCAAAACAATTATGTAAAGATACATTGATGATTAAAAGTCTCAAAGCTTCTTGGGCGCCTGGGTGGCTCAGTTGGTTAAGCGACTGCCTTCGGCTCAGGTCATGATCCTGGAGTCCCTGGATCGAGTCCCGCGTCGGGCTCCCTGCTCGGCGGGGAGCCTGCTTCTCCCTCTGACCCTCCCCCCCGTCTCATGTGCTCTCTCTCTCTCTCTCAAATAAATAAATAAAATCTTAAAAAAAAAAAGATTTAAAAGTCTCAAAGCTTCTCTAAACATATTTTGAAAATATAAAATAAGATAGAGGCAGCATACCAACATATTGCATGCTAACAGTTAAAAACCAAAAATACATGGAGGGGGGTGGGAGGGAGGGGTGGCTGGGTGATGGACATTAGGGAGGGTATGTACTATGGTGAATGCTGTGAATTGTGTAAATAAAAATAAAAAAATAAAAACCAAAATTACAGAAATGTTTCCTGGACCAATATTCTATAGCTGCACTTAATTTTACATTTTTTAAAATAATTTAATCATTAAACAATGTGGACAGTTCAATAAATCACTATATGGTCATCATAAACCAGTCCTAGTTTTAAGGAAGGAAGAAAGGATGGATGAACACCCCTAAAAAGCATTCAAATCTCATCCCCCAATTCAGTCACTGAACAAGATAGGGTTTAAATAGGTTTTAATGAATTTTGTTTTACCTCCAGCTCATATTTAACAATATCAAATGAGTCCGTTGAAAAATATACTTGTTCAATACTATTAATTAGCTCTTGTTCAGCTTGAGGGTCACTAGGCTGGTCTCGAAGTTCTCGGAATTCCTCCTTTAAGAAAAAAAAAAGAAATCACAATTACAGTACTTGTACCTGTTATAATTCTACCTGCATGGAAATAAATAATCACCTGTCTTAATAGTCACAAATCTCCTGGGAACCATTCCAAGCAAGGAGATAAACTGACAGAAAACAGGAAAGTTCATGGAAAATTAGGACTACTAAAGCACTAAAATATTAAAAACTACTCATCTATTGAAGAAAAAAAAAAATAGCCAGTCTGAAGATTCAGATTTTATTTTCAATTCTGTGTGTGCCAATGGATAGGTGGAAGAATTTATAAGTTTAACAAAAGGAAAAACCAAAGTGACTACGTAGTATCTATCATACATACATACCACATACATACGCATTTTCATCATTTAACATTCTAAAATCTGTCTTAGCACAGATAACCAGGGAATATCTCAATGACTTGCAGGTCACAATCAGCATTAAAACCCTGAGCAGAGCAGACATCCTTCCTTGTGCTAGAAATCTCACTGCTCGGCTAAGAAACATTGGCTCCAAAAAAGATTCACAAGTTTAGCTCTGTAATCCTATGAGGCTTCCTTCAAAGTGTGCTGATAATGCAATTAATGATCTGATTATGAATCTAAAGCTCTGTATTTGATAAAACGCTTTCTCTCTAATGATACAGAATGGAGCTTCTATGGATTTACACAACTAAAAAGAGCTTGACAGACAAATCCCTACCCCTAATGTCAGCATCCTGATCCTATGCAATTTCACTGCATAATTGGATAAACCTTCAGTTAACTGGGAAATTTCATTAACTCAGACACCCACTCTCTGCCATACTAATTAATCAACACATTATTATAGACATTTAACAATTTAGTCCTTTGATTTTTTTATTCATATTAATCTCAAATACATTTAAGAACACAAAAGAAACTCATACTTAAAATAATTTTATAGTCATTAAAATAATACTTAACAAAAATCCTTAATAAATCATTAATTAAATACACAGAAATTATAATGTCAATTAGAGAACATTGTTTTCCAAATAGAAATACTCTAGATTATTTTATTGCAGGGCAGTTTTCATTTATAAAAAAGAATCTAGCTTATATATCTTTTAGACTTTAATTTATAATTTAAATATGAAAAATTATTAATTATAAAATTATCTCCTCTTAGATTCAAGCTAAAAGAAAATATTAGAACAATAAATCTGAAACTCAAGAGAATAGTTCTGTTTGTATTTAAAATTCCAATAAATTTAAAAGAGAAGGCAAAGTCATACAAAAATCAACTCTACATAATTAAAAGTGCATGTGAAAGAAAATGCCTCTTCTGTACCAAAACTCAACTTAATAAAATACATTAACCAAAAAAAAAGGGTCAAAGATATAGTCATCAGTGATTTAGCATGCAATCAAATACTATGAGTAAAGTAAGAAATCCAGTGTCCAAACAGTGGGAGCTGCATTCCTCTGTGTGTATGTGTGTGTGTGTGTGTGTGTGTGTGTGTATGTGTGTTTGTATGTGTGTAGCAGGGGGTTATCGACAACAAACACACTAATCTGCGTTGCACCCTGGACAATGACGCTGAGGGACAGACTTGGGTTAAAACCACACCACTTACAGAAAGGTTTCCAACTAGGCTACTCATGGGCAACCTCCAAGCATTTAATAAAAATTTGAAATGAGTGAGACATGAAATGGAAAACGAGATCAGAAATTCTTGGCAATTTCTCTCCCTAAGAGTCCACAGGCATTTGAAATACCAGCTTCTGATGCTGCAACCTGAGGCAGGGAAAAAGACCCAGGTGAGGATACGGCAATGCTGCCTCCCTAGGAATTTCACAGCACCACTAAGAAACAAATGAGGTTGGTACCATTCAAAAAAAAAAAATTCTAAAAATTGCTAAGACTGAAAATATCAAGTACAAAGTCAAGCAAAAAATTCAAATAGACTGCAATGAATGAACACTTTCATCTTAAATATAGATATGCCAATGACATATAACTCCATGCTGACGTTCTCCATACACTACCTAATGAATTGATCTAAAGGTAAAGACCCTTGGGTTTTAGTTGTGCCTCTGGTATTAACTTGGGCAACTCAGTCATTTTTTCACCTGTAAAGGACATATACACAAACACACACACACAATGACAAGTGAAACAAATACCCAAAGTTATTAAGAATGTCAAAGGGAAAACATGATTTCATTTATAAATATCTCACAAGTGTACACTTCACAAACGTAATGAATCTGTAAAAAGGGTACAATCTGTATATGTATATAAAAGGTCAAGTGCCATTCCTTCTTGGAGAACTAAACAATTATATCAGAGAGAGCAGACAAACCCATATAATTTCAAAGAACAGACACATAACACTTGACACTCTAAGTAACCTAGACTAAGAAGAGGGATAAAATCAAGAACGGCAGAGAAAGAAACATAGCACACAAAGCAGAATTCAATCCAAAACAAATGTCCAAACTATATCCCTATAAAATACCCTCTCCTTTCGGACAACTGAGTGGCTCCTCTGTGAAAATATACACCTGAACTCATTTAGACAAACTCCATTCTAACCAGATCCTGATCACGTTGTTCCTTTCAATCCCACTGCACCTGAGGGCTGCAAGACTGCTTCTACCTGATCATTCTCTACATGTTTCACTACTGTGAGTGCCCCCTGCTCAATCCAATAACACACCTTTTGAGAACTGAGATTTCTCCCTATTCCCCATCATTATGTTCTGTAGTGCCAAGGCACACTGTAGAAAGCAATCACTGACTGACTAAAATTAATTTACATAGTGAGCTGTATAAAAAAAAAGAGCAAAAAGAAAGGAAAGGACGTTGTTTTGATAGTCAAAACTTTCCACAAACTCTTAATAAAAGATCTCTTTCTTCTAACTAGAAATAATAAAAAATGTTAAGTGATTTTAGGGATACTTTAAGCATGTAAATTAGAAAAATAAACAAAAACAGCAAGATTGTATATTCTTACCACAATTACCCCATAATTTTGCCATTATATAAACTGGTTTCCTTGAATTGGAGATGTAGAAAAATACATAATTCTTCACCTAAAACCAATTTTGCAAGCCAATATATATGTATGAGGCAAAATTTTACATAAACAAAATGAACAAAATATTTCCTACAAAGAAAATTTAAAAGGCAAAACCAGGGGACCAGAATAACAAATGAAACACCTTATACCATATTAAAATATATGATTTCTTTTAAAGTTACAATAATTTTTGATAAGCTAAGTTTGAGAATCAAGTATTTCAGTCTTACAGACTATTATAAAAATTTATTTTATAGTAAATTTTAAGTCACATAGTAACTAATAAATACATGTTATCATTAAAGTGGTATAAATGCTCTATAAAACTTGAAAATCCAAAAATAATATATCGACAACTATAGACCATCAAAATTCGCCACAACTTGCTTGCTAATGGTAATCAACTACACTTAAAGAAAAAGTACATTGCTTACCCCAAAATTAAGACTGAAGAAAAACTACAATTAAGGTAATGAATTTAACTGTAAAGGGGATAAAAATAAAAATACAATGACAAAAAAGAACAAATCAAGTCTCTCTTCCATACTATCATTAGGAAATAACCTGTCTACTTTCAAAGCTCTCTTATCATACCTTTCTCAATTGAGTCACATATTTCAATTTAACATTTTTTTTTAATTCCCACTATGTAAGAATTCCCTATACTAGGTCATACAGAAATAAAGTTGAGTAAAAAAATAGCTGCTGAAGTAATAGAAGAGGTCAGATGAAGGAAGAAGCAATGCCCTGCAAGGCAGAACATAAGGGAGAACAAACAAAACCTAGGGCATCGAAGGGCAGTGAGTTCACATTTAATGGAACAGGTGCCATTTAGAGAAGAGAGAACAGGTGAAATTTCAAATTTGAGAAATTTGGGGAAATAAGGTAACAAATACAAAGCAAAGCACAAGTAAAAGCTGTAGCGGGAAAGCATACAACAGGTTAAACGGCAGAGGATGGCTTCACAGGGTGGAAAAATGTCAGAGGGAGCATCTACATATACACCAAGAGGCAATAAAATGCAACAATAGAGATTTTTTTTAATCCAATATATTTTTATATACCCTAGAACCATATTTTTCCTTTACTAAAAATAAAAGCTTAACACCTATCACCGTGCCAGATGCTGTATCAAAAAAGTAAGCATAAATATTCAGTATTTTCTTAACATAATAAACCAAGCAGGATTATTTTAGACAAGTGGTAGAAAACAAAGTAGTCAATATTTTAGAGGCTGTCTTTTCAGCAGTCACAATACACTGTAGGATTGTATCTAATTCTACCTAGCCTATTTTTTTCCATTTTGATCAGCTCTGAGATAAAGCTGTATGAACATACATATAAAATGCACATTATAAATGTAACTTTATGAAAAATGAAGAAAAACAATCATAACAGAAATTTAAGTGAACATCTTTGTTTTAGCCAAGTCATTTTTCCTCTCAACATAACAACAAAAGGTTTTATGAGAACTGGGGATTCAGGTCTATAAAAACAATTGGAGCCCTCAAGTGTAAGGTGTTATAAAACATTTCCAGTGTATTTATGGTTTCTAAGGAACTAGGCTATAACTTTACAAAGCAATTTCCTACTTAAGAGTTCATCTCTTATGGGAATGTATTCAAGTTTAGGACAAAAAAAAAAAAAGACTACAAATTTTGCATTTAACCACTACTTTTAAATTATACAAAATACCACACAAATTAAAAATACCAACTCAAGTTCAAATTTTTTAATTCTATTCACTTTCATAAGTGTAAAAAGTGAGCTGTGACAACTTCACAGTTCTCCTTACCATTAGTAAACTCAATTTTCTCTTTAATTTCGAAAAGCAATTTAACCTAATTTTTAAACTCACAGAACAGCTTGGAAACTTAGAGTCTTCAATAGTAGGTTTTTTATTCAAACAAAAAAGATGAATGCAAAATCTTCATTTCATAGGTCAAGT